AAGTAAGAATATTTGTAGTTGTTTCTAAATTCAGCAACCTCCACTCTAAGTCTATAAATTTCGTTCATCATGGCTTAGATGTTACTCAGATCCACGTCAGCAAAGACATTGTTATAATCATCAATGAATCGAGACTTGGGATGTGAGTTGGGACTAGAGAAGATTACATGCTTAGATTTTTGGTTTGCTGTGATAGAAATGTGGGGTTTTAAGTTCTTAAACAATGGATGAGGCTTTTTGAGGATAGATATATATAGGTGAGTGTGCCTTCTTGAGACTGTGAGTAGAGGGATTTAAAACATGTTTACGTGGTAAGAATGGGGGTTTGAAGTGGTTTGGGATGGGGTTGTGAATGGAAAGAGTTTCAGAGAGAGGAAGAATGGTTTCTCGGTATGTTCTTTGTAGACTTGAACCTTCATTTCGTAGCTTCCTTACACCTTAATAAATAGAAAACTAGAAGGTTTAGGGTTTCCTATAAGTTTTTTTTTTTTTTTTTTTTTTTTTTTTTTGGAAAGGTTAAACAATTGTATAAATATTTAAAGAATTTATAGTGTGGGCCAAGAAAAGGGAAGCCTGAACAACTTACGGTAGCAGAACAAAAGGTCCAATAGACAATTACAAATAGGGAGAGTGTAAAATTTTCTCATTATGATTTAAGAATCGAGCAGAAGGATTGGACAATTCCAAGAGGTGCAACAATGTAGTCGGACTATCAAACTTATACTTGGATTGAAAAAACAAAAGAATTGCATGAAAATGATATATAAGATATAAATATTCTACACACTTTTAATAGTAATAGTAAATACTAAAGGTTGTAATAATATCGTAGTTTTTTCTCACTTTTTAAACTAAAAGTTCAAAGTTTTAGTTCTAGGGTTTAACAGATTGACTAGAGTACTTTAACAAATTTATTTGAATGCCATATCATAAAAAATCACTATCGGTGACTTGTAACTTTCATTATTTCTTTTTTTCTTTAATGGGCATGTTGTAATAGTTCGGATTTCTATTATACTCTTCTGAAAATATAGGATTTTTAAATCGTATGAAGCACGGACACCCCTCCTGAGGGTTCCGTACCAATGTCGGACATTTGTCTGATACTTCTGTAAAGTGTCTAAAAATTATTTTTACAACCAAATATAAATCCAATATGAGTTGCAAAAAAACCAATCCACACAACCAAATACAAATCCAATATTGTTCAAAACCATAAAAGCATTAAGATAAATAATACAATAACAAAAGATTAATATATATATAAATAAATAGCAAGATGGTTTAATCATCTTTACATAACCCTCTTCATAAACCTATTTATATGAGTTGCAAAAAAAATACTTGTTTATCCCCCACCACTATACTTCATCCAGAAATCCATTTTAGGGATTATGTAGTCAGAGCATTCTGATGCAATGGATGATAAATGGTATTGTATGTTTCTGGGTTTTGTCATTTTTCATTTTCTGAAAATTTCTTATTTTTCGAGGGTATTTAATTTAGTCTTTTCTCGTTTTGTGTGCTGGACATTGTGAGGTGTGCTAGGTGTGTCTGAGAGTTGGGTGAGATATTTCTTTGAGTTCAAGACTCTTGGAAATGCACCGATTGCCATTTCGACATTTTTTCGTTTTCGGGCCTGAAGGTCCAGGGTGGGACCCACTACCGAAAATTATTGTGTATGGGGGTTGCGTCTTGGGTCCGTTGCATTTCATACATAATTATTTGGGCATGAGTTAATTGTTTAAATGCTAAAATTGTGGTTATTATATAAGTGGTGCATGTATATGACTTTTGTGGTAGAAAAAAAAGTTAAAAGATTTTTTTTTAGTGGTGGGACCCACCACTTTCCTTTTTAATGGCCATAAGGCCATTTAAGCCTCAAATCTCTCTTACTCCCGATTGTATCTCTCTCTCCCTCTTTTCTTTCTTTTCTTTTTCTTCAAAGCTTCAAGCTTTGATTTCTCCCCGACCGTTGGGAATTTGATCGTGCTGTTTGCGGCAAATCGGAGAGCTCGTTAAGATCTACGTGTTGATGTAAGCAATTTCTTGTTTGGCCAACCTTGCAATTTCGAATTTAGGGCTTGGGAATTAGGGCTTTTTGCATTTTTGAAGGTAGGGGTTTCTAATGTATAATTTCTTGCACCTTTGTGAATTATTCTCCATGATTGTTGTCTAGCATGCTAAATTGTGTTGATTTTCCTCTAAAATGATTAAATTGTTGTAAATAAAGTATGTGACTATGTGCTTTAGTTGATATTACATGAACTAGCAAGCTTATATAATGTAGAATTCATGTCTTATATACTTACCTTGCTAGATTATTGTTGAAATGAAAGCATGTGGTATTTTTTTTTGGAATTCTTGTAAAACATGCTAAGTGGTTTAAGTTTGAATTAGTTGTAGAATAATAAATATTGGCATGGCATGAAAAGCATGACGCATCCATGCATTTCATTGGGAAAGAAATGAGAAATTAGTTTTGAAAGAAATAAAAAAAAATGGGTTTTTGGGAAAAAGTTTTGAAAGGGTTTGCGAAAACCCGCCTGCCCAGGAGTTGCCCAAGGATCGCGGTGTTAGTGAGGCCTAGAGGGGACTGGGGAGATCACCCTAGCGTGGTTGAGTTATCTGAGCCCCAAATGAAGCCATGGAGTTGTCATGGGTCAGGAACAGTTAGTCAATCCTCCTCTCGTGCCGCTATAGAGTTGCTATGTGACGGGTTTCACTAACGGTTTGGAAATTATGACGAAAAATATTTTATAAATGGGGAGCGACATTGCATGACATCGCATCTCATTGTATGGCATAGTTCATTCACGACTTGGATTTATTGATGTTGATGTTGTGGTTGTATTTTTTTCTCGACACAGCATGATCTGGTTTCTCTTGTTTCTATTCATTGTATGGATTCACAGGGTTACAAGAGGTGTGTCTTTGGCACCTCCTACTGGGCTTTATGCTCACCCCTTTATTATTAATATTTTTCAGGACATGGAAGGAAAGTGGCGGACGACGATCCACTACAAGCATGAAGGGACTAGGAGTGCATTTTACAACCTTTCGTGTTTTGAACCTTATTTATTTATTTTTTTTGTAAAGTATCCTTTGACATGTATTAAGTTTGCATAACTGGACCATGTAATGTAATTATGAGCTTTGACACTATCTTGATGTAAATTGGACTCATTGTAAGAGTATATTGACATTTCTTATTTAAATGAGAATAATAATGTTGCATCTTATCAAATTGTTGATATTTATAATCATGGAATGTAGTATGTCATATTACAGTGCGTTTGAGCAAGTTAGAGCAGCTTTCAAAACTCTTGCATAGACCATTGTCCATTTTAACATTCATAGCAATCCAGTAGCAAAACCCTAGCTCGCAGGGTCATTTCGGCCTACCGAAATAACTGCTTCGGCCGACCAGTTACTGTTCCACCCAAATTCCAGTAGCCTCGCAAGTTTTTGGGCCACAACTGGTCGACCGGTTGTCCACTTTAGCCAACCGAAATAAGCACTTCGGCCGATTGAAATGCAGGCCCTCCACTACTCTTGTTCCACCATCTTTGGAGCTGTTCCCTTATTTCTTTGTAGTTACTTAGCGCATGTAATGAGTTATGGTGGTACACTAAAGGTGTCTTGTCATGTAGATTAATGATGGTACCCTTAAGTAACCTCGGGTTCGGATAAGGACTCGGTTAACGGTTCGGACCCATGAATTCGAATTTTAAATTAATTATTATGACACTTCAAAGCTTTAAGTGAGAGTCAAGTTTTTGGCTCTATTTAGGTCAGAAGGTGACATTAAGCAACCAATAATCTCCTATCTCTTATGTTGTGTTTGGAAACACTGTTGCCATAAGTCAAAATTGAAGAAAATTTAGTTCAAATTTTAAATTAAATATTCTTCAGATGATAGATAATCTCTGGATCTAGGAGTTCGTCGGAATCTGGGAAGAAGAAGAAGGAGGCAACAATCTCTGAATCTTCCAGTTCTCCCCCAAAGAATAAGGAAAAGGAAAAGGAAAAGGAGGAGGAGGTTAAGAAAATTGTCTATAGATCATCATCATCATCCGAGAAGAAGAAGAAAAAGAAGGAGGAGGAGGCAAAAATCTCTGGATTTTTGTGTTCTCCGCCAAAGGAAAAGGAAAAGGAGGAGGAGGAGGAGGAGGAGGAGGTCGAGAAAAGTGTCTTGTTTGTGTGAATGCCTATGATGAGGGTGTTAATGAGTTTGGCAGGCGTCTAGAAGTGACGGATTGCTACCTAATTAACTTATCGACCAAGAAAATGAACGAGATTGGAAGAGTTGAAGAGCCCCTTTATGTGGAACACATCGGCAGGAAAATGCCACTTTCGTGGAGGTGCTGCTCTGTAGCTCTGGGCTCCACCATATAATGCACTATTAATAGTGCTTGTGATGCCGTCCGTGGCCTTGCCATGGACACTACTAATATTAATTTTGATTGCAAAGAAGTTGCTCTATTGAACCTTAGAAATGAACTCTCTCTTATTGATAGGGCTATAAATTGACACTTGTCTCAAGCAAAAGTATTGATTTGCTTTACCTTTTTAGGCAATACCTGCATCAATGGACAGGTATAATGTTTCATTTTTTTACTTTCTATTTTTCTTTTTCTTTTTTTTTTCACCCTTTTGTAAGGCAAAAATTTTAGAGTTCATTGTCACCGTAATATATGACTGATATCCTGAAATGAGCATTAATCTATGTAATGTACATTATATTCGTACACCAGCAACAGTAATAAATTCTAGTCTAATGCTTGAGCTAATTCTTTGTAATAAGAGAGATTTTTTTAATTTGAATACCAGTTTTTTAACCCTGCTCTTTCCTTTAATATATTTGCCTATCGTATAAATTAATGTGATCTTAAATACGAATTCAAACTAAGTATGAATACAAATACAAAGTTGAGGTTACGTAACTGAGCTGAACCCAAATTTTTAAAAATAATGATGGTGGATTGCACGACCATATATTCAAATACAAAACCTCCCTTTAGCTCAAGTTGGCTTGCACGACCAGCATTGTCTACAAAAAATAAAAAATAAAAATAAAAAAATAAAAAAAAATTGAAGGACACAATTTATCATCATCTGAAGCAATCTCATCATCATTGTTGTCGTCACACCGTACAGCCGTCCATGTGCCTACATCATCGTGGCCATCCGTGTCTAAAATTAATATAATTTGAAATTAACCTTTCCTAAAAAACGTCCTGTTGAAAACCTTCCTACACGATTTTCATCCTCTTCGTCCCGTGGGAGTGGTCACTACTGTCCCGGGTGCCCTCCTCAATGCCATTTGCTTCCCTTCGTCGTTGAATTGAGGGACTATTAACAGAGACAGACAAATCCGCATAATTTGCCCAAAAAAATAAGCATTTACATCATCAGATTATACAAGCATAAACACATTAAATTGCATGTTGAGAGAGTTTTTTTTTTTTTTTTTTTTTTGGGAAGAAATTTAGTTCAAATTTTAAGGTGTGAATTTTTCAGTGCTTCCAATATATCCTTGGATACATCAATGTCAATTAATATTAACAATATTAATATTAAAAGATAGTAAAAGAAAAAATGGAATAAATCGTATAATTAATTAAGAAAGAGATGGAATCCAAAAATAGCACTTACATTGCAATGGCGTCGAATAATTGGTCTCCAAACACGAAGAGAGGCAAGAAAATCAAACCCTCCTTCTGGATTGGGCTTCTTAGACGCGGAAAACTTTAAGCATCTAACAACGAGTGGATACTCTCCATCAGGTGGCAGTGATTCTGTGGTTAATTGTGTAATGGTCTATACACAGCGCCCAGAACTTTGTGCTGCCGGATAGATGGGGCAAAATACTAGGTTAAGTAACGAAAATGGCAAGGAAGGGGAACCAAACCATCACAATCCAAATCCTCCTCCTCCTCGCCACCGCAGCGTTCTCGTTCAGAGAAGTAGAGTGGTCGTGGTCCGACGTCTGCACTATTGACATCCAAACAATGTGATCCAGTGACGACATTTTATCATACCAATACAAGATTTCATCATTATAAAGGACGTTTCTGGGGCGATAGAAACCAAAGTCCACCACCCAGGCGTGTCCACGATTCATCATCCAAATTGTATTTATATAGCACACTTCGTCGTAAGCCAGTGAGAAGCACATTCAGCTCCCATGCTCCGCTAGTTGAATTCTGTAACATTTGTACGGCATCTACATAAAACAATCTAACCTCTTGGGGTATTTCGGTCGAGAAAACTTGTCGCCGGCATCTGCTCTCCTCCGGCTAGGAGGGATCAAGAACTTCAAAATAGTTATCACTTGGTAAATACCATAAACCATCTTTTTCACAAGGTGGTATATCATCAATCAAGTGGCTATAAATAAGGCCCCCGGCCACGTAGACCTTGCCATCGTGAGTAAAGGCTTTGGGATGGTAGTGGTACCTTGGCCTGGACATACAGGGACATTCGGTCCACCCTTTGGAGGGACAGAGAGTGTCGATGCAATACCCTTGGTCGAAGTACCGATTGATACACACAGGATGCCATAATTTGGGATTAGTATAAGACCGAGCGCAAGGCGACACGGGCAGAACCAAAAGAGCATGAATAGTTTGGCGGCAAATCGGGGAAAACGGGAGAGAGAGGTTTTGTGTCGTCTTTGACTGAGTACCAGCGGCAATCGCCGTTCAACCTTGCTACGCTGAAGTATATATATGTCTTCTTCTTCTTCTGCAACAACATTACTTGTAGTTTCTTCGACTTCGTCCAACATCACCATCGTTTCTTCTACGTCCATCTTCGATTCTCGTCTGATTCTCGTCTGATTCTCCGTTGTTCTTTCTTCCTTCTTCACCTTACTTATAAATAGGAGCAGAAAAGATTGAGGAGGATTGACGTTAGGGTTTTCATTCGTTAGCCCTTAGAAGTTCAGAGATATCCAACCGCAAAATATGACTGGTCATTCTAAAATTTCATAAATTACTTCCCATCCTCTTTTCTTATCTTTTCAAACGTGTTTATTCTAAAATTTAATCGCCAACAAAGAATATTAAGTTGAAATCCTAGGACATTGATAAAATTTTTGACTTTTGTTTGTAAGGATCATGAGTACTCTTATTTGTTTTCACAAAATACATTCGCTCTTCCCTTTCATATTTATATAGTTTCTATAAAATATGTCTCTTTTCCTTTCATTATTTTTTGGTTTTTATAGTTCCTTAATTTTCCTATCTTTTTAGTTTTCTATTTATGGTATGTATATCTTTTTTTTTTTCTGTTTATTTTATTTCATTTTCACATTAAGTTTCATAGTATTCAAATATAAGAATCTGATTTGTACAAAATCTATAACAAAAATTATAATGTTTTTTTACAATTTTTCAATACTTTGCAAAAAAAAAAAATTAATTCCTCTCCTTATTTTTGTTTCTGGGAGTGGATAGATCATCAGTTTTGATCATTATAGCAATTAACAAATGCCTATCAAAGTAATTGATGTATATTAATAATCTAAAACAAAGTTTTGTATATAAGGAAGTTCTTACATGCAAATGCAATGTGATGTATATGTGTGTGTATATATAATAGATACACTAGTAATGATAGGCAACGCAAAAGAGAAAAAGCCAGAACTCTTCGAATTTAATTTGGCTAAGTCACATCAGAGTTAAAAAAACAAGAAAGGTACAACGGTTAAAAAAGATAATAATAAATAAATAAATAAGGAAAACATGGTGCTTCCTCTTTCCCCTCACAAAGAGAAAACTAAAAAATAATTTAATATATTCAAACTATATAATTCTTCAAATTTTTACTTTGTAAATTTAGATTTATAGAACACGGGAACAAAAAATTTCCAAATGGTGATTATTTTCTTTTGTTCTCTCCCTCCAATTATGAAGAGTTTTTAGTTTTCTATTTGTGAAGGGATAGAGGAAAGTTTTTTTTTTTCGTGGCTAAGCCAAATCTTCAGTGTTACTTATCATTACTCTTTTATTTATCAGGCTAAATAATCGGACTCTTATTAAATATCATCTCATGTCATTAACGTTAACCGGTTGATTTTAGTAAAACGTAGATTAGAACTTTGGTAGGTTAATAAAAAATTAAATTTATTCTTTGTAGGATTATTAGTTTATAGAGCAGGGTAAAAAGCCCATGGCATTTGTCTTGAGCTCTCTATGATCACATTTTAGGTATAGAAACCAAATTATTCCATTGCTCGTCATAAAATGGTCTCGTCATAAAAATAAAAATTGTACGAGCTGGTCAATGATGAGTTTTCTGTTTGATCGCTTAAGCCAAAGTTCCACAAACACAATTTAATAGTTAAATAAGAAAAAACATTACCTAAATACTGAACAGTGTGTAGGTAACCAACCATATTGCACTATAAGGTTAGCAGTATCTGGAGGTTTACAGATCAGTCAACTAATGTGTTTATCCTATGGGGAAAAAATTGCTGCCGATCACCCCTCGGTAAAATGTAAGAATAAAAATTTTGCTACCGCTTCAGATTTCCTCACTGCCACGGGACACCGCAAAGTCATGCACAGGGAATGTTCCAAATGCATTTATAACAGGCTTAGAGGTTGGTTGTTCTGATGGAAAAAGAAGAAAAGAAACCTCCTCCTATCAACCCAAGGAACATACTTTATCTGGAAACAAGAGTTAAAATACCAACTGTTAGTGTTGCATACCGTTTGGCCCATCAAGACCAATATAGTACTAAACATATTCAACCTATTGAGAAATAAACATATTTATAAACCAGGGAAGGAAGAGAAAAAAGTCCCAATCAAAACGCACATTTGGCATTTTTCCTTCCGCCCCCCCCCCCCCCCCCCCCCAATAATCGAGTAAACTGGTTAACTACTGCATTGAGCAAAACGTAAGCAACGACCACTTAGGTGCCAAACTTCCATTGCATCTCGCATTTCTGGTAATCATACCAGGCATGCCACAAGATATGGACAGATCGAATCAACTATGACAGCAAGGAAGCAGATTTACCTTGTCTTGAGTTCATGCAGCACGTACGACTATCATCTATGTAGGTTGCTTGGATTCCCATCATCCAAGAACCCACTGATATGTCATCATGAGCATAAGACTTTAGAGATGCACTGCATGATAAGGGAAATAAGATGAGAACGGAACTCATACACTAAGTATAGGAGATATACATATATACATATTCATAAGTATAGAGGATGTAGGAACAGTTCAGTTTGATTAGAAGGAATCAAAGAATAAAATGCAATATTGTGAGTAGATCTGTTGACTCTTAAACTTTGAATATTTTGGGGAAAAAAAAAAGGGGAGTAATTTTACGAGCTCATATTTAGTGAAAGCATCTTGCTTTTGGCATCTCAAGATAAGTTCGAGTTTCTTGCATCATTTAGTTGAAACAATCCATTGAAATGTAAAAAATTATGTGAGGAAATTTAAATTCTAGCACAAAAGATAAGCCAAACATCAAATGTTAATCATCAAACTTCAAAAAGATAGTTTAATCTTAATGTCAAGGACAATCAGAGCTTGTCAAAACTTCCCAGTTTAAAAAAAGAGTAGATCCAAATTAAATTCATCTCCCTAAGCAGGCATTGATAACTAACCTGTTTATGTAAATATATTGAGCCAATTCTTTGGATAGTATAAAAAGTGAACCACTCGCATGTCGGAAGTACCTGAAGACAAGATTGATGTTTCATACAGTGGAAGTTGTAACCATAATCAGACTTATGACACAAAAAAGAGAAATCTTAACTAAAACAGAATTCATTCTGTGCCAATCTTTTGGCTTTTAGTTTCAATAAATAATTCCTGAATTATTCGAAGAGCAAATATAGTGGAACAAACTTTTTTACGTAACAGCATTGCTTAGTTATCTCAAATTATCCAATTACTATTGCAGTTCTCACCATATTTGTGGCCAACATCAAGCTTGCAAAATATCTCATCCCAATTGTATCTAACACTTGGGTAGATATCGGTAATATAGTCAGTGTTTACGCCCCAAGTAGGACTAGAATAGCACGTTAATGCTCAACTTCGGGAACAAGTTCAAGGGGACATCGAAGGAGATAGATTCCTTATAGGAAGAGACTTTTTAACGGTTGTGTAGGAAATGATTGTGTATGATATGAGATGATGCATGGTGAACACGTATTGGAGATGTGAATAGATGGGGAGAATATGGCAATTGATTACCGAATGTTTTCCCCGTTAATCAAAGGTGCGGGCGGCCCCCCGCGCGCGCAAAGTAGCTGCTCTCACGATTCGAACTAGCGTATGCACACTCGATAGCCCAAGCATTTTACCAGTGCACCAACCAATGGCCCCTATATGTAGGGATGGCAACGGGGCGGGTTTGGAGCGGGTTTCCCTAAATCCCGCCCCGCCCCTTTTAATTTTTGTCAAGTCCATGCCCGCCCCGAGACCCTCGACGGGTTGGATTTTTATATCCAACCCCGCCCCGTTAGGAAATACTGTGCCCCCGTGCCCGTCCCACTAACAAATTTTTTTTCCCACTTTTTGGAACTTAAACTCTTGTTATTTAAATGTGCAAAGCCTAGGAATGACACAATATAAATAAAATTATATATCCTAATAAAAATAAAAAAAATAACATGCACATAACATAATTCAGAGAACATAATAAACAAAAATAAAAGTTTAATACAACCAAATCACAAGAAGTTCTAAGCTCCAACTTCCACCATAACCAAAACAAAAGCAAATTTAATACCAAGTTTACATCCCAAATTAGGATTGTAAGAGATGGATAATTGGGTAAGCCGCTAAAATAACTTATTAATATATATATATATATATATATTAAATATAGTTATATGCGGGGCGGGGTGGGGCGGGGCCCCTAAGATATGTATATTGAACCCTTACCCGCCCCGTGACCCTCGACGGGTACAAAATTTGTATCCATGTCTGCCCCAACGGTATAACAAGTGTTCCCATATCCGTTATTAACGGGGCGGGACGAGGCGGGGCCCCGACGGAGCGGTAAAAATTGACATCCCTACCTATATGAACTTAAGGTGGCTATACGTATTCTAGACAGAGAGATAAATATTCAAAAACTTCTAAAGCACATTAAACAACACTCAGATTGCTTTTGTTTTCCACAAATTAAAGAGCTCAAAGAGTAGATGCCTAACATGCAAAGATTACAAGGTTATTTTTTTCATAAATGTGGTGATTTCCATTCAAATAGAATAAGCATTCAGTCCAATGGATATAAGTGAGGCCATACCCCCACTATAAGCAAGTGCCTGTGGCCTAGATAGAGTGTCCCTTTAGCAAGATTGCAAGGTTATTTATGAAGAAAACATGTCATCGCAGCATAGGTACTGAGTTTCAGCATATATATTAAATGATAATAAAGAAAGAGAACGAAGATAAAATCTCAACAACTAGGTGGTGGAATTTATAATATGAGAAAGGCGAACTATTTAAAAAGAGTATGCTAAAAGTAGTAACAAAACTTAGAAGCTTAAAGATATAAAATGTAATTTCATGTGACCTAATGTATTAGAGGAATATCGAAAAAGTTCTTGGAGAATCAAAAGGAAAAGTATCTTAATGCTTGAAAAAGTTAAAAAGAATGATGGTGTGATGGTGTATCTTGATAAACAAAGATCTAACAAAACATCTCATGAGTGGGGCACACATATTTTACTACCTATAGTTGAAAGGAATGATGGCATTTTCCAAAGTCCAAATTCCATTCAGCCATTATTTAATATATACAAAAAAAAAAAAAAAAAAAAAAAAAAAACAAAAATCATTTCACCAAAGTTTCACGTAGTTGATTAAATGTGATTAGTTTAAATTCAAATTTTACCAAGTGGTCAAACAATACCTTGTCTAAAAATCACATGGATTTAGTCATGATAACCATTCCCTTATATATTAATTTCAGAAGTGATACAAGTATTGTCAAAGCATTCAATGACATTAACCAATTTAAACATGAATCTCATTTTTCACATTAATGCTCAAAAGATGATAGCCTAGTACCCCAATGAATGCTACCTAATGATGTTCAACAGAATTTCAGGTGCCCACTGCTAACTGTAGTTAACATCAACTCTTAAGAGGTTTCTTCCACAAGAATAAGATATTTATTTACTTGAATCGCAAACCACTCAACTAAGTAAATAAAAAATTAAAGGGGAAATTTTAACAATTAAGTTAACCCAGTCGTATAAGATAATATCGCTAAATACCACTATGTTGACCTTAAAAAATAGACATATAGAACACTACTGGTATTCCATACTCAGTATAGTTGGCTACTTATGTAATTTTCAAGCATAAATTGCTACCATTTGATGTAGCGGAAAAAGGTAAAAGAGATTAAATTCAACTTTATGTTTCCTCTCCCACAGCTTCTTGGCATTTGAAAGGAGCATTGCAATTAAAAAGAGCATGGGAAATTTGAAAAAATAAAAATAAAAAAAATGTACCAAAATACAAATGAAATCAATACGGGACGTACCATAAAATAAGCTTCAACCTATACTCAAAATTACAAAATCAATGAACTAATAAATCTATTCAGGAGATATTAGTGCTACTCTCATGCACGAGGTGGGCATTTACAAGCCAAGCAAAAAAAAAGAACCAGTAAAAGGCTAGTTACGTACGATTTACCATCCCCAAATTTCCACCATTCAGGTTCATACCATGGCTTTCCCCTGCAAATTCAACAAATAAGGATGTTCAAACGTCGAACCAACAACCTCCACATTAAACCTGCTTACAGGTTCAAATAGGCAAATGAAAAATTCAAGGATTAAGCGGTATACAACAATAGGAAATGCTGACAATAGAGAGGCAGCCACATAAACACAGACAAATAATACATTCTTCATACGCTAAAGTTTGCAACTGAGATATAATTCTTTCAAAGAGATTTTTCCTATTCATGTGGCAGAATTGTCTAAGAAATGTTACATGAGTTAATTATTTTATTAGAAATGCACCATTGGGCCACAGACGGAATACATTCCTCATAAGCTGTAGTCTGCAACTGAGACATAATTCTGTCAAAGTCTCAAAGAGCTTTGTCCTGTTCTTGTGGGAGCATTGTGTAAGAATGCTACACAAGAGGTAATCATTTTATTACAAACGCATTATTAGGACTCTGAATGAAGACACCATTACACTAATGAAATTGAGAAGGTTCAGAGAAATCTTAGCCACAATTTTTATGATAAAAAGATTATAGGCAAGTGTTGATTGATATCAAGAAAGCTTTTCCTTCACCCTAGCACCAAAGGCTACACAAACAGCTGCTAAGGCTTCATATACCAATTAAAATGTCCTAAGCCAAAACATTTCCTAAGTGATTTAATAACCGGTGTGCCCATATAATAAATAATATGTTTCACAATAGCTAGCAAATCATTCCCTTGAGTGCATTTAGAAATCCAGATACAAGTGTTGACCCTTAACCTTGATTCCGATGCCAACCTTATTTCACAAATTACCAATGGGGCTTCTTAATATGCGCATGGCATGCAAGACATAAAACTAGTTTCATTATTTCTTCATGTATACAGTCCTGGCTTTTTTTCTTTTTTCTTTTTGAACAACCATCCGAATTGATTAAACAACTGATAGTTACCAGGTAAGAGTCCGATATTGTTCAATTTGCTATGACATGCAAAAAAAAGGGCATAAAACTCTATGCAATGCTATGTAGTTTAAAAGAATTGAAAATAATAATAATAACTTGTAATAAAACATAAGAAGTAAACGATCTACCACATACGAAAAATGAGTGGCGTATTACTTATGGTATGACTCAGAAGTTCACCACGTATCCTACCATGTTGTGTTGTTACACAACCTCTGTTCTCCAGATATCAAATATTCAATGAAAATCTTAATATCATTCTCAAAGTTGACAAAAGATCCCCTTTTCACCATCAAAAATTTATCCCACCAATTGATCATGAGAAAACACTAAAGAAAATATATATAAGTATCATTGAAGGAGAGAATTCTACCACAAATATACTAAGTCACATTGTTGACAACCATTTACTCTAAAGCTTAAGCTATTAGAGAGGGTGCAACTTTAATATTAATATCCTTCTACATGCCCCCTCCTGTGTGACCTTCTTTTGGTCCAACACATGTTTCAATTTTAAACCAAGGTGACAGTGAGGTTTGAACCTCTCTAACAGCTTGAGCTTTTGGAGTAGATGGTGGTTAACACACATCATAAGCAAAAGAAGATAAGCAATAACAAGCAACCAAACTGAGCACAACGAAATATAATTAAGAGCATTTACTCTTCAGTTATCACATCTCCAGACTTCATGCATCCAATATAAGCAGCCTCTTTTCCACGGCGGCTTTCAAGAAGTTCAATTAACCCATCTGACAGCCAGAACATAATATCATTAATAACTTTCTAGAAGTTCTATGAAAAGAAAGAATGTGGTGATATTCTATAAAAACTAATAAAATAAAATATATTACCAAGCTCAATGTCTATGTTGTCATCAACTTTTACATAAAACTCTGCATCCCAAATTTGAACTGCTGTGCTAAAGAAGAATTTCGCTTTATTGGGCAACTCCTCTTGAGCTTCCTCATGACCATCCTAATAGACAAGTGATGACATGCTCAAGATCTATGCTTTGCATATTTTTTTGAATCCAAATATAAATCCACGTTAGTACTTTTATTCTATATACTAATTTATTATGATTATTTAAATTTTATTATTAATATTCTAATAATTTAAATGCACAAGGGATTTAAGTAATCATCATGATATCTAATTTCATAATTATGTTCGGCTGTAATTCCAAAAGGTCTTTTAAGGCCAACAAAGCACTAAAAATATCATTATACCATTCAAATAATTGGATATGGCCATGCACTTAAGGTAGAAGATCATTGTGGTTTAATTATCATCCAAACTTCAACAACTTACAAGAATTAAGAAATCCTTTGTCGTCCGGTTTTCCTCATCAATACTGCGGTCCAAGCTATCACCTCGATTGGGACTGCCAATGTCAACACAACTGAGTTATGACAAAAGCTTTGTCTAGCTTACAATAGCACTGGAAAAACTAAGAGATGCAAAACCAAGGATGATGCACAATTTAAGAACACAGTTTTGGGTGCGTGGAAAACCTCCGACCAATTACAAAACGTATGGCCACTCCTCTTTCTTCAAGTTTTTTCAAAGCGTCATCTGGAAAAGCCATTGAAATGCACATGTATCATTAGTAAATTTAAGGCTTAACTCCTGATAATTATCATTCACAACATTCAAAAGAAAACCATACAAGCTAAGTCAATACCCAAAGCGCTAAGCTTTTATTTTAAATACTATACTAAGCAGAAATTAAAAGCCGCAGTATTGTAATAGAAGAAAAAGAATACGCATATTCAAGTGCATGAAGAATATAAACAAAATAATATTCAACTGAAACATAAGGACCTAAATAAAAAATAATCTTTGAAAGGATATTAATTAGAAAAGGCAGAACATGGCATTCAAAGAAATCAGAGGACATCCTAGATTCTTTATGTTCTAGGGCTGAACTATAGGAGAAAACCTGAGCCTAAAGGATCAAAAAGAAAAAGGTCAAAAAACAAAGGAAATGGGTTAAAATTGTAAAGCAATAATTTTCAAGTTATAGGGTCAGATTTTGGTAAATAAAGGGGCTTTGAGTAGTACAATAGTAAAAGAAATTCAGCAAAACAAGAAAAACAGAAAAGAGGAAGTACCAAAGAAAGGAAAGAGAAAGAACAACTCCATGATGGTTGATTGAGATCAATACTAAAATGAATAATAGTCCCATGCTCATTATTTAAAAAGAGAACCATTCTTTAACTTCTAATCGCTATTTAAAGCAAGCTAGAAAACCCTAGAATTCTAAAAATACCCAACTATGACTCAATGAGAGCATCAGGATACAAAGCAACTCCCAACACAGCCCCTAGTGGAATCCTTTGAATTAACGAAATTCGAATATCAATTAAAAGCTTCTGAATAGAAAGGTATGCAAATAAAAATTCAAATGGAACTTTCTGAACTCATGAAAAATGGCTCCACTAATCCTAAGCAACAATATACTAAATGCCATGACCAAACACAATCCTAGAGACAAACCATCCTAATATATAATATAAGTAAGATGGCATAATACTAATGATAAGTGTAGTAACTTGATTTTGCTTTCCCCTCTTATGCATAATTCTGACAGGTAGGGCAAAGTTCAGCCCCAAACTTGAAGTAAACAATGAGCTACATGGAGCTCATCCAATCTTAGTGTAAATATATATATATATATAGAGAGAGAGACAAACCATCCTAATATATAATATAAGTAAGATGGCATAATACTAATGATAAGTGTAGTAACTTGATTTTGCTTTCCCCTCTTATGCATAATTCTGACAGGTAGGGCAAAGTTCAGCCCCAAACTTGAAGTAAACAATGAGCTACATGGAGCTCATCCAATCTTAGTGTAAATATATATATATATATATATATATATATATATATATATATATATTGGAAGGTTAAGGAAACTCACACACACGTCGAATAATTTGGATCTAGAGGCTTCTGGTATATGAACTTGCAAATCATACCACAAACTCTTTATCTTCTAAGGTATAACTTGTTCAATTTGCAGAATTCTGCTTAGTTTTGTAGTTTAACAAGTTCGAGTGCTACAGAAATCAATGAAAAAACCTAGTTGCTATTATTCTCCAAACCATGAACTTCAAATTTTCTCTTAAACAATGGATCAAGTAAAAGTACCAGACCTCCTACAAAGACCTACAATTAATTCCCAACCATCCTTTTCACAACCTTGTACATCTCCTCCACTTGAGAAAATTCCATTTTATTCATTGGATAATAGGATAGGCCAAAAACTTGGAGGTGGTATGCTATTCTCCTTGTACTAATGTTAAACAAGTTTCTCATCTGTATGTTGTGATAGCAATTGCTTGGTTGCAGATGACTTCCCTATTCAGAAGTCTAAATTTAGGAGTTCAGTCAGATGGTTAACAAGAGACTTTTTGGTCCAAAGGTAGTGACTTGAGTCTTTTTTACATTTATTTTAAATTACGATGTTGCTCGCCAATTTTATTTTTTCTCATATTTTAGGTCAATGGTATTTTGATAAACTCAATATTTGCAGAACAATGACTTTAGCCACCCATCAGTAATTAAAACAGCTCTTTGCTGAGTTGAGTCAGTTGACAGTATGATCTTCACCCCAAATTAAGCTCAATTGTCTATTCAAATAAAATAAAATAAAAGGGAGAGAGAGAGAGAGAGATGAGTAATCAAATCAACAATTTCTCTGAACCTCCTTTGCATTTTTACCAAGGTTACGCTGGTTTTCATTGGCATTTTATTTTCACTTATCAGAAAAAAATACTATGGTTAAGCTCATTCATGCTCACTACCATGAACGAATACAATATTAACAAAATATGAGAATAGAGAAGTATCAATGACGAAATTGACCAAGATCACATTTAGCCAGAAATATTTGAAGAAGACCAACCGCAACAAGCATTTATGGCTGGTCTGAACAAATTACACCACGGATCGAGATTCTAGCAAAAATTTTGTACTATGGACAAACCTAGTGCACGAAGCTCCTGCCATTGCGGAATCTGTGGAGGTTCAGATGTACGCAACCTTACCTCCACATGCGAAGAGGCAAATTTTGTACTATGGATCTTCCAAATTGTATTACTACATTTATTGGGGATCCACCACCACTTATTTCATTTTTTTTCCCAACTCAGACACCCGTTTGTCCCTATGGGGACTTGACCCTCACCTCACTTTGGAAGATTGAAGAGATACCACTAGGTCACGGCTCTTGGTATTTCCAAATTGGCTATTCTAAATTGGAATCCCTATTTTGACATCTACTCTTTTTTTGGCAATCAGCTGTGTTTGAATTCGGACAGACTGACCCAGAAATTGTATTTTAGTGGGGGAGACCTTGAGTAATAATAAGAATAAAAAATTGTGAACATCAGACTACAAGACCTTACATCTAGGTCCAGGGGAAAGGGTGACAGCAATGATCACAATTACGATAATGTGGTTTGATAAGAATTTCACTAAGTGATTCTCAATTTGAGACTTAGAAAATCATTAGACATAAAAAAAGGGATGACATCAAAGTGTTCTAAATTCAGAATCAGTTCACACTACAGGAATGCACAAGCAGTTAAGCACTATGCTATCACACACATAACTCTAATTATCACGCTAGATCATCAAATCAACAAAAGGAATATCACTTACAAGGGAGAGAAAATTTTAAAATATCAAAATGAATCATGGAACAAAAGTACTTATGCTTCTCTCTATTCAGATTACCAAATTGGATAATCACCAAGGCCTTTCAGCAATTTGATATAGCCCCCTAAAATAATTCAATGTATTGCAGCACAATCTGTATTGCAGCACTGATTTGAGGGATTATTTTTGAAATTCAATATAGTGCAGTCAGGCTTTAACTGACCTTTTGACATATAAGATGCTCTAAACTGATTTCGCTTCAATCGATTCCCAAATCCAGTATAAATTCCAATAACAGCAAGAAGCCTTTTTCCAGAAGAAGACCCACTTTGCTGCGACTTATTCTTGAGGTAACCCTTACTCTTTGCCAACGTTAGTTCCATCTCAGCTTCCACAATCCTCCTTTCCAAATCCCTGAAACATCACTACCCTTAACACAAATGCACAAATCATCTTAAATTGTGGAAACTGACACTAAACAAGAGGATGATAAAATATGTACTGGCATCCCATGACCATTAGCTTATCTTCAATCGTAAGAACTTTTGGTCTCTGCAAAGCATAAAATAAAACAAATAAAGAAGAAATCAATAAAATAAAATAAGTGGAAAAAGGAAAGAAATAAAAGAAAATGAGATAGTCAAAAGTGGACATTGTCGAAATGAAAATTTTAAAATTTTGGCTTTTGCTGGAAATGAAAATTTCGTGTGACTTTCAGTTTTAGAAATGTGTGGTTTTTTTTCTAAACTAAAGAAATGAAAAGACATGGAAAACGCTCTGACAAAATTCTTAGAAACGGCTTTTTGAAGAGAGAAAAAATTCATTGCAAAATGAAATGACACCAAAAATAACCATTTAAAGGGGGAAATTAGAGTCCCAAGAAGGAACCGGCCACATAATTTTTAGGCAAGTTTCCAAAACAAAACAAAACAGGTATCAGTGTTTTGATACATGGTATATACATTCATTTTATCAGCAAACGCACTGAATCTATTCAAGAAATCGAAAACAGACCTGGCTCAAGTTCTTCTCAAGAAGATTCGCCAGTATTGTTCTGTTCTCTGCATCTTGCCACAACCTAATCATCCAATATAAACAAACAATTAGATAAATTTCTCCAGAAAAATAAATAAATAAAGCATCATTTTTCCAACATAAAATTTTTAAAACCAAAATAACTTTTTATGTAAATTTTTATATGAAATATATATATATCAAATAATTTCCCTTCTTATTAATTAATGCTTGGAAAAAATGTTACCAATTATTGGAAAATGAAGTACAAACAGTTGCAAAACTATATAAGCATGTATGTAAATATTTATATATGTGTAGGTGATAAGCATGACACATTTATATGAGCATATATGAACACATTTTAAAATCAATGTATCTCTAAATCTGTCAATATACGTATATAGGTGCACATAATAGGCACTATGCTCGTGTAATTCGTGTCTATGTATATATATTTATATAGACACACTTCAATTGTTCGAGAGGTACTTTTCGCGTGAGTTTTGAGTGTAAATTCAAACACATGAAAATGCTGTTATATGTGAAACAAATGAAAATTCACACACTCACGCACCAGATCACCAATCCAATAAAGATCACTCTAACTTATATATACACACAAATATATATATACACAGAGAGAGAATTACCGGCCGGCGATGTAGAGGCAAGCGAGACAAGAGAAGAAGGCCATGAGTAGGGAGGGTTTGGATGTTTGGGAAGACTTGGATCTCCCTCGCCTGTCCGGTTTGGACGACGTCGTTGGTAAGCCCTCCATTTCTTGCTGAAAAGATGATTAAGAAATCAAATCTGAGAGAATGCGAACATGAAGATGGAGAAGAAGAAGAAAAAGATAGATTTTGGAGATATATCGCTGGATTTTGTGAATCTGATTATCGAAGTAACAGTCCAAAACCTCGAATCGAATTGAATTAAGTTTAGAGAGAGAGAGAATTTATTACTTCCCTTATATTGAAACAAAATGAAAGAGAGTTTATAACTTCTCCTGCCAAACATGTGACTTGAGAGACTAAGACACAGTGCTTTTTTAAAAAAAAAACAGAGAAATATTAAATATTTAATTAAAATATTTTTGGCTAAACATATACACAGAAAAATTTAGAGAGAAATATTTAACTACTCTATTTAATTAAGGATTTTGGCTTTATTAGCCAGCCCATCTATTTTATGATTTTTTTTTTTTTTTTTTTTCTAGAAAAGACTGAAAACGTATAAAATTTGATTTAACTTTTGAGACAAAATATTCTATAATTTTTAAAATATATTTATAAAAACGTCGCAGACCTTGATATGTATTTATACCCACACATTTAGCCATATTATCCTAAAATTTTATTATTTTTTGTTAATTTTATTGCACTTCCAAAACAATATTGACATTTGAAATAATGACCATGTTTGCTTTATTGAACATATTAGTAATATTATTGACAAATTCATCCTTGACAAATTTTTAATCTAATATTGATTTTGTTAGGAAAGAGTGTCAGTTTTCATTTAAATATTTGAAATTTGATCAAAAACAATAGTTCTATACAACAAACTTGAAGGTTGAATATGAAATTAGTCATTAGAAATCAAATCACAAGATGTAGCCGCAGATAGCATGAGAAAAGGATTTGCTTATTTGTAGCAGAAAAAAAATAAAGTTAGATTGTGTGAATTTAGGTCACAAGTATCATGGTCTTTTTCTGTTGAGCTTTTTCCTTTCAACATAATTAAAATAATAATAATAATAATAATTAAAAAATAAAATAAAATCATTTTTCATGTGTATTGATGTTTTATGCTGCACTATGCTTACTATTACATGTCTTTTTATTATTAATTAAGCTTAAGTTGGATGTGAAAGTTAAAATTCAAAAATAATTAAACTAATCAACCTAGCTTTTCATCCCCCTATAGCTCTCTAATCGAGCCTTGCAATATGTAGACCCAAGGGCTCAATTATAAAAAGTTATACCTAATAACAAATCTTAAAAAGGTTATTACAAAATATACTCCAAAGAAAAAGAAAATAAAGTACAAACCTCAAAAAAAAACAAAACTATAAAGTCGAAACTTCTGTGCAATGGAAAGGGTTGAAATCGAAAATCCCTACTGCAGGGCAATTTTCACCCTTTCGACTACGCACTAGAGAGGATCCTTCTCCCCATAGGTTAAGATGCAAAGATATATATATATATATATATATATATATATATAGAGAGAGAGAGAGAGAGAGAATAAAAGAAACTAACAGACTATTAAGTTATAAAATTGAGAAAGGCTTGCGTAACACTACAATACAAACGACTAGTCTTGGTTATAAAGAAAAGGGAACTTCAATAATTTGATAGTAATACAAAGAAAAATTCTTTCTTTTCTCCTGAATCATCATCCAAAAAAGCATTCCTCAACATAAAAAAACCATAACCGCCAACCAGCAAGAGACCCATTGTTCAAGAGCATATATCCGATAACCCAGTTAAGAACCATTGTGGTAATTAATGCCCTCCAACAATTTTGCAGCTCAGAATCATGTAAAGTAGATAGAGTCTTCAAATAGTGCCTCGAATTAATCTCTAACTGCTCCTCGGGGCAGCTCCGGGTAAAAGGCTTGAAAGAGATGGAACCCCTTGGTTCCTCATCTCTTCTTGTGCTCGCCTCATTTCTTCAGGGTCTGTCACCAACACAAATATAGATTGATACCAACAATTTAAAAGTAGAAACAACCAACAAAAATCATAAAATGAAACACTCTTTTGTCCCTCAACCATAGATTGGGAATCTGAACACGTATAAACAGGAAGTTGCAGACCACATCATTTGCTATATATTCCAATAAGCAGTTTGCCTAACAACTATTGCCACTCGGATTTGGACATTTCTTACCCTATTAATTTATTATTAATATACTTTTCTGGATCTATTGTCATCTTTTCACCTCTCTAGGTGTCAAACTTATTGATTGCCAAATCTTTTGACAGGTTAAGTTCAGGTTGTATTCAGTATGTTCCTCCAATTGCAAAATTGTGCCATTGTTACAGCCATGGTACCCACTTGGAGAGCCAAATAAAATAAAAACACCAAAGATGGTATCTCTTCTCCTTCCAAATGGAGGGTTCAGGGTTTGAATCCTAAATGGGAAAATGATAGCATATGTGATTTACCTGCCCACAAAACAAAATGCACATAACAACAACAAACAAACAAAAAATCTTGTTTTAAGCTTAATAGTTGCCCAGTTGGAATTGGGGTCAACTTGGCATTGGTGTGTTCAAAGTTGTGGAAATATCACCATTTCTATTTTCCATAGGGAGCAGGAAGGAGATTTTGCCATCAAATGGAGATTTTAGCAAGCAGTTAAAATAGGCAGTGAGTTATGTACTGTTTTATATGGTAGTAAAAAAAAGTACGGACGAGAAACTAAATCTTCTCCTTGTCTTTCAAATTCAGTGGATGTCCCAGGAGAAACTGTTTACTGGATTATATGCAATAATACATTACATGCACAAAAATAATCATGTAACTTGGCAATTTGAAAATATCAAGAACCTAGCAGTTAAGGTCCTTTTATGAGACGAATGACAAAAACTGACTATGATTAAAGCATAACTTAGCTTTGTTGAATCTCATTTGGGGATTAGGCTTGCCATTTGAAAAGCAAGCCAGTCTGAGTAAATTCACAGCAAATTGGAGCATAGTTGAAAGTCGAAACAAAAAATTATTGAACCAAGTATAGAGTACTTACCCATGTTCTCCATAAGTTTGGGCATCACGAACATCACCAGCAGCATGAATCCTATCATCAGACCCATTGGGCTTTTCACTACAGACATTATGTTGAAAGGTTCCCTTATCTGCAACCAAAAAAAGGATAACAATAATCATTTGTTTAAACAAATAATAATCCTTTCCGAAAAAAACAAAAAAAAAACAAAAAAAAAAAACAAATAATAATGGGAGTGACATCTAAACCAACCTCATAATATTGTTCCTCTCTCAAAGGCTCCAAGACCAGCTCAGTCAGAGCCCTCCTATTTTCTGTCAGTGCTGCTTGAACTTTACCGGGGTTTCTGGCACTGACATCAACGCGAACCTGGTCATATTAAAAATAATAATAATAAAAAATAATTGAACCATGTGAAATCTGGATTATGTTCCACTATGATCAAGTATTAGCTGGGAATGTGGATAGCATAATCTCACCGGAGAAAAGAAATAATCAATTGCAGCCACTTCAATCAGATGAGTCCCTGCTGGCACATTATGGCTTTGAGCATAGAGGTTAAGGAACTAGCCTGAGTCTACCAAATGTTTCAATAGCATTCTTCCATATACATACACGTATATCTATATTTGAGCTCCTAGGTAAAAGCCTTTGCTTGATTACGCAGCCCTATGGTCTAAAATTAATCAGTTTGAATTAATAAAACGAATGGTAATCAGATGAAAACAGCCAGACTGGCCTATCAAAATAAAACAGGAAAAAGTGTCCACTTTCAGGGTTATTTTCTTCAAATTTGCACACCAAAAATGTGACAAGCTTTCATGCAGAGAAAATCAGTTCACCATAAAGAATTGCAGGTTAATGAATCCTCTGAAGTATTTTGTACAAACCTACTATTTTAATATATATAGGAAAAGACCAAGGGTTGTAGTCCAGTGATACTTCTTCACCTTCCAGAATAGAAGGCCAGGGGTTTTCTCCCCCACCCCCCGGGCCAAAAAAAAAAAAAAAACAGGGAGAGAGAGAGAGAGAGATCTAACGCTGGTATATGACCCTTCTCTCCATCTACCAAGTACCCCTAACAATCTATTACACATGCATCTTCCCTTAAAACCAATGAAGAACAGGACCAAATTCAATATTTTTTAATAAGATGACCATCCGACAAAATGAAACAAGCCACCTCGTGACACAAGACAGATACTAACCATGCAGGATGAAACTTTGAAATTAAAGAAAATAATAAGCAAAGCACTCCTCGGTTGTGTTAAACAATTGCATATAGCTCCCAACATAACACGAACAAGCAACGCCTTCACAGAACCAAGAAAAGTGAAACTGTCAGACCTAGAAACACCAAAAAAGACAAACAAAGGAAATCTGACAAAACTAAGTCTCTAATATGCCACAAAACTAAGCCTCTAATATGCCAAGTAGCTGCTGTTGTGGCCTAAACTTGACCATGTTTAGAGAAGCATTATAAACAGCAGCTCAAATCATTACTACAAATCAAACCCAAACATGATAAAGTATGAAGAGTAATTTCTTATAAATAGTAATATCCTTGTTAAGGCACCAATATATACCTTTTTATACTGAAAGCTATTGACTTTTTTAGTTTTAAGAAATCCTAAATATAACAGCACATGATGCAGGCTAGAATGTAATTGGAATGTCAACAAGACAGAGAAAAAGGTATTCAGAACCTACCCCCATTACAAATAACAACAAACAAGGAATTACAACTCGTTAGTAAATAACATCAGATTTTGATCCAACACCACTTGATACAAGTATACCAGCCTCTCAAAATCAACTTTTAGGCTACACCATCACCTGAAATTCTTTTATGCATATACAATCGCTCTTACATTAACAAAATTAAGCGTATAAGTATGTATGGATGATCTTAAACTGTCTTCAATTTTTCCCTCAACCTTTTTGACATTAAATTTTTAAACATATTCTTTTTTCGTTTCTATTCTTTGCTTTATAAATATTTATGTTTACATATTAAAATATCTTCATAAAATTGTTCTTTGATTTATAGGTTGAACAACCTAATTCTTCCTTTCTTCGGTTTCTCGTAGCACCACCGGAACTCCATGTTAAATGCAAACTAAGAGATAACCTAATCCAAAATATGAGATAACATTACTGCTCAACTTCAGTTAGAAATGACTATTACCCTTATTCAAACACAATCGACATTGTCGGTTAATCCTCATAATGTTAATGTATCCGCTGTCAAGGACAAAAATATTACTCATAGAAACTCAATTTTCACATCACCATAAAAAACTTTCATATCCAAACCTCCATAAACATGCACACAACAATTCATACAAGAAAAAGGATAAAATTGCAGAAACTATATGTACAATTTGAACCCCAAGGGGTTGACTCAAGTGGGTAAGTCACTTGGCCCTGGTGCCTCAGGAAGGATCAGGCCTAAGGTTCGACTCCTCTTGGGTGCAAACAATTCCTTGGAAGTGGGGCGTGTGACAACCAACTAAAAAAAAAAAAAAAAACTACAATTTGGTTATAGATGAACCAACATGAAGTGAAGTTATACCGTGTACAAATTCTAGAACTGCCATGGATCTAATCAAAAGAAAAGTAAATGCATGATATAAATATGGTAGGATACAATGAAAAATAACCATCAGGCCTGACAAAGGTAACTCTTTGGCCACCATTGAGTATGACTTTGGCATTTGATATTTTTGCTGGCAGACCAAATCCTCTTGAACCAATGCCTGCCAAAACAAAGCACCAACCATCCAAAAGAGCCAAAAAAAATCATCTCTAAAATGAATAAATAAAGCTGTAAAGATATAGGCGACTTCAAACAATAAATAAGATCAATGATTTTTAATGATATGATATTTCAAAACTTTGAATCAGGATTGAAATTAATTAAGCTATAACACTTGTAATTTGATGCCTACTGAGGTTTTAACGCCTGTGAACAATGCATTGCATTAATGGCTCAGCAAATAAAATATCTGTACTTTTGCTTAACTCAGTTTTTATACGTGTACCTATATTTTTTCTTTTTTCCTTTTTTCTGGTAAGGTAAGAATTCCACTAAAAGTGCCAAAAGGCGGGACACAGAGAGTTTATACAGAAACAATGAAGAATAAATCTCATTTTCCCAAAAAAAAAAAAAAAAAAAAGTACAAAGAATCATACATCATAATATAGGACTCTAAAGTCCAAAAGAAGATGAAGACCTAATAAAAAAGATGTTTCAGCCTATGTATTGGATGATCTGCCCTTCAAAAACTGAACTATTTCACTCACACGGTCAAACCAAATTCCCCACAAAAGGCAGAGACAGTAGCATTCTACGCCTTCCTGATTCAATGCTGTTGAGAGATAAAGAGAGATAGAGAGAGAGAAATGAGATGTTTGGTGGTGTTCTATTCCTAAAATCTGATATATATATATATATATATATACACACACACTTACAAGTGTAGCTTATTTACAATATGTCCCCAACTCTATCATTAATTACACTATTACTCAACACTCCCCCTCAGGTTGGAGCATAGATATCTATCATGCCCAACTTGTTACATAATTTTGAAAATCGTGATTTTCCCAATGCCTTGGTAAATACATCTCCCAGTTGATCTTTGGATCTCACATTAGTAGTAATTATCCTCTTACTCATCACCAAGTCCCTCACAAAATGGCAATCTACTTCGATATATTTAGTTCTCTCATGAAACACCGGATTGCTGGCAATGTACGTAGCAACCTGATTATCACAAATCATTCTCATAGGCCTGTCGTTGCAAAAACCCATCTCTTTCACAAGCTGTATGAGCCATTGCTCTATACTCTGCCTCTGCACTATATCTCGCCACAACATTTTGCTTCTTACTTTTCCATGTTACCAAATTACCTCCTACAAATGTGTAATATCCAGATATAGACCTCCTCTCCAGCTATGCAGTATCCCCATAACAAAGCCAAACATAATTCACACAATTCCAGGTGATGAAAGAAGGCTGCAGAATACTTCAATGCAAGAGTAAATGGCTCACTATCTCTTCCTCCTCTTCACATACAGCACCAGTTGGTGATCCAAAAGCCCTTGCACTTGAGATTATCAACAGTACAAATATCATCCAAAGCAGCTGTTCAACCAATACCCCCATCGCTATATTAATTGTTAAGTTCTATAATATTAAATATTGATTTAAACTTTTACATTCTATTCTTTTCTCCATTCATATTAATATGAATAGCTAAGAAAGAAAATAATAGTTAATTGGCTAATTGCTAAGCTTCCAATAGTTCATTGAATTCTTATCCACGTAAAATTCTGTTATGTAAGCCCGCTTAGTTCGACCAACTCCCCCCTCCCCCCCACACCACAAAAAAAAAAAAGAGGAAAAGTTGGGGCGGGAGACAAGCACTGCATCATTGAGCCTCCCTTCGGCATAATTATCAAACTAATTAATTGAATTTTGAATAAGAATTAACGAAAAGTGTAAAAGTTAGGGTCAAATTGTTATCCATTGTTCGCATTCAACAAATATGGCAAATCTCTAAAGGTGTATTTTACAAAAGAAACCTCGCAGGCGGCAAGCCACTAAATTAAGTTGAGTTAGGATTGTCATACCAAGTTTGCTATCTTTCAATTACCGGAAAGGAAAAAAAAAAAAAAATTAATAATAATAATAATTTGCTATCTTTTCTTTGTTGTAGAAATTTTTGGGCTTTATGAATAGATTTTAGTCACAAACTGTTTTTTTGTATTGGGCAAGCTAAATTTTCAAATGTTCCCCTGAATTTACAGTGTTGGAAGGCATTTAGATGAGTTGTACCAAGAGAAAAATGTGATCAAGAAGGTGAATTTATGATTTTAAAATTTTGAAACATCTTTTTTTTTTCATTGTTTCTTCCAATTTTGAATCAAGTGTTTTGAACATAAAGATTTACTTTAAGAGATTGTCTTCCCCATCTTCTTCCTCCTCTGTTAATGTTTGTAGACCCTAAAATCTGAATTTCCATTAAGAAATTCATATTTTTATTCTCTCCTACTTTTGACATCTCCAATTCGATGTAATAATTCCACTCTCACAAAAAGCTTATGCCCCAATCTGTAGTACCAGCAAAGACACTCAACATATAGATGAAAGATACATAAACTGACCAACGGGCCAGTGGCCTAGCGGTGCCGACCTCTTACTTCCCAAAGCGAGGTCAGGGGTTTAAGTATCAGAAGAGACGGGTGTGAGTACCAACTAGGAAAAAAAAAAAAAGATACATAAACTAAGAAAGATACATAAACTGACCTCACAATAAAAATTAAAAAATAAAATCATCAAGCCACATCCTATTCATAATGAAATACATGCTCATCTCATACCACAACAACACATTAGATAGAAATATATCCTACCAAAAAAAAATGACATAATCAACACAATATTACAATTCAATTTTCAATTTAATGAAAACAAACCCAAAGGTGCAAAAAAGCATAAACTTGTATATTTAAAAAGAAAATAAAATAAAAGGTTAATAGATAAAATCAGCATACCTGGAATCTTTACTCGACCATTTATGGTATAACCATCACCACTCCTGCAGATAAATAAATCAATAAATAAATTGCATGCCAATCCATATATCTGTTGGTTTTGCCCAAGAAAAAATAAATAAAAATAAAAATCAATGCTGGAACTTGATTTTTGTGTGCAGAAATTAAAAATTAAAACTGACACAACACTTTAATTCATTTTCCAAAGGAGAAATAGAGATTCAAAACAAACAAATTAGGGTTTATGTAGGAGATATATATATATATATATTATAAGTGAGGTATACGCACCCAGTTGAGATCGCGACCGTCGAAGGAAGGAGAGAGAAGCAACAGTGAAGAAGCAATACTAGAGTGAGAAGCATCGCTCTAGATCTCCGTGTCACTGCCATCAGACACAGAAAAATTCGAATCGTTCAGAGTGAAAGACCCAACAATGATGGTTCTTCGTGGAAGTCGTTGGTATTTGTTTCGACTTTAACGCCGTGTTTGAGATGGATGAAAGAAGACAAGGGAATGAAATTATCAAAAAAATGGGATGTCTTGTTTTTTTGTTTTAAAAAACATTTCAAGATAGTTATGTATTTAATAACGTTTTTGTTTTTTATTTTTAAAACTTTAAGAAAGTAAAAATATAATTTTATTTTTTGAAAGACAATAAAATACAAAAATAATATTTATTAACACTTATTATTGTCATAATTTTAAAAATAAAAAACAATAACAGTGTTTAATAATACACATTTGTTACAATTTACATAAAAAAAAAATTTAATTATTTTATTTTTATTAGCAAATTTCATTACTACAAAAAAATCTTAAATATATTTCCAATTCAATTATTTTACTACAAATAGTAAAAATACTCAATACAGGATAAAAAAAATATAATATTTAATTTAAAATCACAAATCCTAATAATACCCACTACATAAATACAAAATAAGACATATTATGACAAAAACACTAACCAATTAATCAATTCTGTATATAAGTGCATACATATGCATCATCTATACATTTATTATAAAATATATAAATATATTATATTATAATAAATAAATAATATTAAATAATATAACTATGATATAATATAGATATGGTATATAATAATATGTTAGGTATGTTGCATAATAATTTAATAATATAATATATAATATATAATAAATCATTTTTTTGTCCCAAAAAAATAATTTACACTATTATATAATATATTATATTTTAAATATATATTTTTGTTAAATAAAAAATAATTTACACTAATATATAATATAATATAATTATATATTAAAAATATAATTTTTATTAGTATTTAATATGAAGCATTAGTATATAATATAAATAACATACATTTTATTTGAAATGAACAATATATATGTAATAATAATAGTGAAAACGTTTTTGCTCGATAGTGTCAAAAATATGAGAAACACCTTTTTTATGTTTTCTCCTTTCTTCACAAAAACAAAAAACCTTTTCTGTTACAGAAAAACAAAAACACATTACTAAACATGTTTTTTGTTTTTGTTTTGACTTTTTAGGGACTGACAATAGAAAACATAAAACGTTTCCCTTTACTAAACGCATCCCAAGGCTGTTTGGATGTAAAATAATTTTTAATTTTTAATGTTTGGATGTCGTAAATTATTTACGATGAAAAAAATGGGTTAAGTGTAAAAAATTCCCTCGCTATATAAAAAATGTGCAAAAAACATATTTATTAGAAAAAAAAGAAGTAAATAAATAAAAATAATAAGTGTGCATATAACTCCCTGTATTATCTATTTTTTGAGCAAATTGCCCCCTATTGAAGAAATTTATTGAAAAAAAGCTGTTGGTGATGTCACTTTTTTAAAAAAATCCAAAAGTACCATTTTTGTGTAACAAGAATGCCCCAGCCAATTTTGTATATATTTAAATAGTGAATGGGTTTGTTTGGATGTATATGAAGACCTATTCATGGAAATCTTTCTCTCTAATAATTTTTTCTCTCTCTAAAATATCTCTATGTTTCGTTTAACAATCTATTACCAAAGAAGACATCCTCTTTATTTATTTATTTATTTTTATTATACTATATTTCATTTGGTTATTCATTAAAAGATTGATTTTTTTGAGTGGGTCAAGTAACATCTTCCCGGGTTGTGTTCTCTACTGATGTTATGAAATTTCTTAGAGCTTGTTGATATTGGGTGCTCCGTTTTAGAGAGAGAAAAATAATTTTGAGAGAGAGATATTATATTTTCTTATAGAAGGAGAGTTATAGGAATGAAAGGAAAATATATAGAATTAGAAAAGAATATTTCCAATAAAGATTATGTTTCTATATATATATATATATATATATATATATATATTGAAATAAATAATATTCAAAAAAATAAAAAAAATAAATAGTGAGTACTTACTAAAAGAAGGGTATGTGAATAATCATCTTTGTCAATGCATTTTTATTAACTAATTATACTTTGATTTTGCTATTATTGCAATATATGTTGATGATCTTAATCTTGTGGGAATATTGGATAAGCATAAAAAATACAACCACTTATTTAAAGAAAAAATTCGAGATGAAAGATCTTGGAAAAACAAAATTTTTTGTTGGTCTGCAATTGAACATTTATCAAGTGGAATTTTCTATATGATAAAGCCCATCCATTGAGCTTCCCAATGGTTGTTCGATAACTTGATGTAAAAAAAGATCATTTTCATCCTCACAAGGATGACAAATAAATTTTTGGTCCTGAAAGATCATATCTCAGTACAATTTTGGTGGTCTAATATATCTTACAAATTACACACGACCTGACATAGCTTTTTGAATCAATTTATTAGCAAGATACATTTCTGCACCAACCCTCAGATATTGGAATAGAATTAAGCACGTATTGCGATATCTTCATGGCACACAATTGATATGGGATTGTTTTATTTAAAAAAGTCAAACTCCCAGAATCCGTTAATATTGTTCTCACATAAATCCCGAGAAAAAGGTCACATATCCAAGCCTAAATATGACTTTAAAGGTTCATTCGTCATCTACTCATTAGGTCATGTGACTTCAACAATTATGTGAACGTAATTTCGTTACACCGAAAAGTCCAACAATACCTTAATCGTACATCACACGATGATATACAAAACTCCACTGATCACTGATTACACTATAAGCTTTTAAAAGCTTTCATAGCCACAAGCTAGAACAGGAAATCTCTACAAACAAATCACATCCAAATTCGATAATTTCCTAAACATTCCCTTAAAACTCACTCACGCCCTAGACTCCAAAACTTAAGACAATCAATGTAAAATGACCTCAAGAGAACATCATGATCACTCAATGAATCAAAGCAGATCCTCAATAACAATGAACTCATGTCCCCAAGAATAACTTCACCTCGAACCACATACATCAACATATGCACACTTTAATCACCTCGATCCACTGGCAACCATGGCTAGAACCCCCCAAAAGAAGAACACTGGGAGGACATCAACCCTCCCCAACCAGGCTCACATTCCAAACTCTATCTTTTAGACAAATACATTTGTAAGTGATGGCATGGTTATCTATCTGACCAACATAAAGCTTGATCACAAACAAAGTATATGTTTACTTGTGGTAGCATGCTATATATCATGCCACTCTATAAAGCTAACAATGATTGCCACTTCTCTGAGTCATTCTGAAATACTTACAATTCATGAGGCAAGCAAGGAATACATTTGGTTATGATCCATGATCCAACACATTTGAACATCATGTGGCCTCTCATCAATAACAAATAGCCATATAGTATTATATGAAGATAATATTACATGCATTGCACATATGAAAAAGGTCAAATCAAAAGTAACAGGACCAAGCACATCTCACCAAAAAAAAATTTATGCACATGAACGTCAGAAGAATGGTTATATTGATATTTAGTAGATACATTCATGTGAAAATTTAGCAAACCTGTTCACTTAAACACTGTCATCTACGACATTCAAGAAGTTGGTACACAACATTGGGATGTGATAATTTAAGGATCTTTCATAATGAACTACTCCAACTGATATACTGATGAAGGGGAGCAAATAATTAAAAACGTATCGACATATACTGTACTCTTTTTCCTTCGATCAGGTTTTGTCCCACTGGTTTTTTCTAACAAGGTTTTAATAAGGTTGTTTGAATCCATGCAATACCATTTTTCAGATATACAATAATATTGTACTATTTTTCCTAGCTACATTTCATTTCTTATTGAATGCATGCCCTTTTCAATTAGCATGTAGAAGATGTTTAGCCCAAAATTGTTTGTTTACTATTGACAATGCAATCTCATTTACTCTAAAGCTGACACGTTTAGTTGCATGATATCTTGTGTTTAACTAGTCCCAGATCACTTAATAATTTATCAGCTCTATACATGTTCTTCTCACCTACGTTGAACACGATTCCAGACACTACTGTTTGAAAAATATTAAATATGGAGCCAACAACAGGCTTGTTAAGAACAACTATAAGTTAGTATACAAACCAAATGTCCCATTAGGCCACCAGTGCATAACCATTAGGTTTTATGGGCGTCCACAATACCAACCAAGGTATTCAAGGGATTGAATTTCTCTGCATCAAAATATCGATACAATTTTCTGAGTGAACCCTTAGTAAAATCTTGGTTGTCTAAAAACTGCATTGATGCGCATGGATAAAGTATCTTTTGATTTTAAGGCACATTGGGTTGGAGCAAGGATTGCTTTTATTTCCACGACATTGGATGGCATGTGGTATAACATCCACTAATTCACTCAACTACACCACCAAGTTACATAAAACTTTATAATACCCAAAATGATATTTATCAACAAGGAATGAGCAACAATCGACCAATAAATGCTTCAAAAATTCTTAACAAGCCAGTTGCAAACGTCATTAAACAACATATTATATTAAACTAACTAAGGATTAAATTTTACTTTATTTCTATAGAAACTATCTAACGTATGAAGAGAAACATAAGTGGAAAAACAAAATTGACATGTTTCTACAGAAAGTTATCTACTCTGAAACATACAAAAGAACAGTTGAAATACTGAAACAGTTAAATTTTCCTCCATTGCCACTCTGGCTCTCTTAACACTAGATATGGCTATCATGACAAATTATAGAAAGCAAAAGATCAGGAACTAATTATAAAACTGCAGGCAAAAAATTATTTCTATAGACACACACGGGGAGGATTAGTTATTAGTCTTTAAGGAAAAAATTGTGGAAGCTAAGGAAAACTAGTTAGAATTCTATTTCTAAATTGCATTGTGAATACCAAGTTAAAAGTATGTAAGGAAATACGGATACAACAGACTTCTATCTCTTGATTGCTGATGGGACTTCCAAAATTGTGATATTACTGGTTCGTGGAATGGGCATCCATTTCAATTGAAGAGTGACCACTTTGAATTTTAACACCAAAAAGCCACTTGAATAATTTCAATTTACTCTTGCACAATGCCAGTGTCATCATCAC